TTAAAAAGTATGTTGTGCAGAATAACAAACCAAACAACTTTTGGCTGAGGATCTTTTCCAAAGTCTTCAGAGAATTTGAAATAAAAATAAAATAATGTAAAGAAAATAATATCACCCCCTTTAAGGCCTTTCAACCCCTTTCAAGCCCCTTTAAGACCCTTAACCCCCCCCCCCCCAAAACCCTTCACAACGACATGAACCAAAAAACAAAAAAAGACCAGGTCCCTCTTGGAGGGAGTGAAAATGCCCCATGATCAGGGGGAAAAAAAAAACGTTTTGACTATTTTTTTTACGCCCGGGTGACCCGTGCGGGTCTGGTAGCCCAGCTCTGGACGTAATTGAGGCCACATAAGGACAGCACGGATCATAATGGAGGAAAGTGCTTATGTGAATATATATTGCCTGAATCCACCTAATACACAAATGTCCCTCCCAAAAGTACATACATCCGTAAACCTACGGCTTCGACTTAGCAATGTCGTCTTCACCAAAATAGAAAATACGGCCATTATCACCCCATCTAGACTGAAAGTTGGCCCAAATACAGCTGCAATGACATCACTATCCTTCATTTTGTCTGGCTGATCTCCTTGGCATATGTATCAAAAAAAAAAAAAAAAAAAAAAAAAAGTCCATCCATGGATCCCATTGGCTGGTCCCCTTGGTCCACAGAACTGCTGATCTGACCGGCCACTGAAAATTTTGGTGATAGCAGAAAAAAAAAACTTCGTCATCGTCGTCATCAAAGTGAAAAATGGCCAAACTCCATCCATCATGCTCGCTGGTCCATTTGACCCGAAGGAAGAGAGTTGGGGCCAGGCCCTGCTGGTGCAATGTTCATGCTAAAAAAGTATGAACCTGGCCGCTATTACAGTCACGTTCATGCTAAAAAAGTATGAACCTGGCCGCTATTACAGTCACGTTCATGCTAGGAAAGTATGAACCTGGCTGCTGCTATCACCAGTCGTGATCATGCGAGGAAAGAATATGAAACCTGGCTGCTACTACGGTCGTGTTAATGCTAGGAAAGGACAAACCTGGCGCCTATATACGGTCATGTTCTTGCTAAGAAAGTACGAACCTGGCTGCGATTGCGGTAATGTTCATGAACATAGCACCAGTGTAGCCTGCTCCTTATTGCTAAGGAACCAGCAGCCAAGCTCAAGAAGAGAAGAGATACCCCGGATGACCTCACAACTTCTTCACGCAGGCTAGCAGGGTTTTGTACAAACGGGCTGTGATAACTCCGAAAAAAAAAAAAAAAAAAAAAAAAAAAAAAAGAGCTTGTTGATGAATCAGGACACGCTCAGGTTTTTCTTGCTGAAAAGCAGACCTTGAGGTTTGAGCCGACGAATTAATATCGGAATTATTAATAAAATTTTTAATTTCACATTTATCTGATTTTATCTGATAACCTGTCAGGTTAGTTCGCCCCAACCACCGCCCCCCCCTCCCAAAAAAAAAAAAAAAAAAAAAAAAGGTTAGCTGCAAAGCGAAGAGCAGGAGCGAGATCCCACTAGCCATGTATGTGGATTAGTGTGACGGGCGTGGGACGGGTGGGGGACAGGTGGATGGCAGCGTGAAAAATAGGGAAAATAAACGCAAATTGTGGCAAAAACCCATTTCATGACCAAATAAATGAAGCAGAAAGTGCTAAAAAAGAAAAGAAAGTGCTCTTCTCACAGAATCTGATCCTGTCTGCTCCAGCCGGGGGCGTCAGATGTCAGGGTATGATTCACTGACCATGGCTGTAGCAGTGAAGACAGTCTGCATGTGACTGGGCACAAGGACCATATTCATTGACAATAGTCTGATGCTTCCTTTCCTTGAAATAGGCCGCAGTGCACGCTGTTCGGTTTTTCTGACAGAAATTCTTTTTGGAAAAAAATAAAAAATAAAAAAATAAATTAAAAAAAATGGCAAGAGTAGCCCCGTACACCATTTGCTGTAGCATGTAGGTGAGGGGATCGAACCCTCTCTCCCAAACACCTCCCAAAACCACAATCAATTTCCAGCGATGAAGCCATTCTCGTCTTTGCCTTCACCATGAGTGAAACGTGTGTGATTTCACGAACCAAAAAACTTGGTTCTGATTTCACGCACGTTTGGGACAGCCACAAGACCCCAACAACAAAAACAAAAGAAAAGACCTACCGATGGGAGAGAAAAAGAAAACATCCTTTTCCCGGGCTTAATTCACAAAAACAGGCTACTGCTGATTTCCTGCCTAATCCACGATGCCTGACAGTCGCACACCTTAAACACTAATCTGCATACATTGGTGGTGGGATCTCGCTCCAGGACTGTGTGGACGATCCCCGGCATCTGTAACTCCTCATCCCCAAATGAAAAGGACAATGAAAATAATATTAAAAAATAATAATAATAATAAATCACTTCTTGATGGTACCTAGCAGGAGCTTACCTTGAGGAGGCTTGAACCGATGAATTATCGCGTGATGATTCCCTGATGATAACCCGCCACTTCCAAGATAACAATTCCCTGGCGTCTAATTTGTCACCCCCAGATATGAGGACGAAGGAAAAACTTTTGATACGCATGCCGAATACCGACTGCAGCAGCCTCTTAGGCTGCGAATCTCATTGGTCCCATTGGTCCCATTGGTCCCATTGGTCCCATTGGCACTGATGAAGACTCATACAGAGAGAGAGTTTGGTCACATTGGTTCCACTGGCGCCGATTGCGCCCAGCGTAATGTGTGTCAAACACGGTCAAGCACATTACTCAAGGGCATTGCCACTTACATGGGCGACCACATTTCCACTACAAGGTTGACGGGGCCTTCCCAATCGCACAGGAGAGCCATCGCGGCTGACCTTGCTACATTGCCGCTACAAGCAGCTTCATAGTGGGCTCAAAGATGACAGTATAGCGGGTTCGATACCTCGCAAGTCGATGAATCAAACGGCACATCGCCATTCAAAGGCTATCCGCTTGTGCACAGGCTTTACCTATGTGAAACAGTTGTGCTTCCCGTTAACGAGCCTAGTTCGGCTCGACGGAGTGTCATTCTAGACCCGCAATCGCGATGTTCGCCATTCTAGACCTGCAATCGCGATGTTCGCTACGCGGACGACTTCCTGATTGGAGTCATTGCACCTAACGCACGAGCCGATAGAGTACGAAGTCTGGTAGCAACGATAATCAATAGGGGGACCTGGACCCGGCGTAGGACCAGGTGCATGTCACACGATTTCTCGAAGTAAGGTTTGGCCCTCGTAGTCCCTTGCTATAATTCAGTGCATGTCTGGTTCCGAACGGCCGTCAAACCACCAGTACATCCGAGCGTCGTGTTGCCGTCGAGGCAAGTTTCCCCTGCACACCAAGCCAAGCTTTGGCAAAATGCCAGTGCCGCACTTTCTCCTTCCTTTTTGGCTGGCGCCGCCGGCCATTTAGGTCCCGCTGTAGCCCTAAAAGAATCCGCGCGTCCAAAAAATTTCCGATTGCCTCGATTTCGATTCTCAAGTTTGCTTGGGAGATGATGTACTGGCGGTTCAAGATGATCCCAGTGCATGAATCAATAAGCGTATTAAGCGAGCAGCGGAGCACATTGATATGACCTGTATGTAGTCCATCGACTGAACTTTGACATAGATATATAATCAGCGCACACTGCACACCTGATTCGACCAAGCCAAGGCCACGCAAGACCAACGCAAGGCCACGCAATGGCACGCACGTCGAAGCGACATTTCAATTTCTGCGACCGTCATCCCCCGAACACAACGCACCCTGATAACGAATGTATACAAGCCATCTCTCCGGCCCGGTGCAGCCAAAACGAGGGTGCGTTGTGTTCGGGGGAAGATGGTGGCTTCGCAGGAATTGAGCCAGGCTGGAGCCTGTACCTGGTCCTGCTGTGGTCCAGGTGCCCCTCTTCTGACGTGACGATGCCCTTGCAGGAGGTCCTTGTGGTACAGGCGTAGGTCGTGCCAGAGCCAGGCCAGAGCCTGCACCTGGTCCCGCCGCAGGTCCAGGTGCCTTTTGTGACATGATGATACCCTCAGAGGCGGTCCTTGTGAGGGACAGGTACAGGTTCAAAGCCAGACAGGAACCTGCACCTGGTCCTGCCTGTGGTCCAGGTGCCTCTTATGACATGAAAATGCCCTTACAGGAGGTCCTTGTGGCACAGGTGCACGTTCCGACAGAGCCAGGCCGGAGCCTGCGCCTGGTCCTGCCCATGGTCCAGGTGCCTCTTCTGATATGACAATGCCCTTGCAGGAGGTCCTTGTGGTACACGTGTAGTTTCTGACAGAGCCAGGCTAGAGCCTGCACCTGGTCCCGCCCAAGGTCCAGGTGCCTCTTGTGACATGATGATGCCATGCCCTTGGAGGCGGTCCTTGTGGTACAGATTCAGGTTCTTACAGAGGCAGCTGGGCATGTGCACCTGGTTGTGGGCGATAGATATCCAGGAGGCTATTGTGCCTGCGCCTGGTCCTGCCCATGGTCCAGGTGCCTCTTCTGACATGATGATGCCCCTGGCAGGAGGTCCTTGTGGTACAGATGCAGTTTCTCACAGAGCCAGCGCGGACCCTGCACCTCGTCCTGCCCACTGTCCAGGTGCCTCTTGTGACCTGATGATGCCCTTGCAGGTGGTCCTTGTGGCACACGTGCAGGTTCCCACAGTGCCAGGCCGGAGCCTGCACCTAGTCCTTGCCAAGGTCCAGGTGCCTATTGAACGCTTGCAGCTTGAGCCGAGAAGAGAGATAACGATAGCTTTGAAGCCAAGAGTTTCGTCCTTATTGTCGGGGTAACCGTGGCCTTCCTGCATGCACATACACAGAGGAACAAGATGCACATAATGTCATTCTTTTTTTCACTTTTTTAAAGTTTTTTTAATAACAAAATAGGACAATATAACAAAAATATACGAATCGTCATAATAATAATAATGTTGTCAATTACTAAATTAGAAAATTGTGATATAAGCATAAATAATTTAATAAATAGTTGTGATGCAAATCAAGTTTAATCAACAGCATCATTATCGTAAAAAGTTCACAAAAAAAAAAAAAAGATTTTTTTTTTTTTTTTTTTTTGAGAAGTTGTCACTTTGCATTTCAAAACAAAAGTGGTCGAGGCCGGGGACCTCACAATTCTACCCGGTGTTGACAAGGAAAACTGCTGGAAACCGGGTCCAGCGTCCCACGACCACTCAGCCTCCATAAGAAGAACTCCTCAAAAAGCCTTGAAGCCCACAAAAGGTGGCTGAACTAATCATGACAAAACTCTCTATTCCGTCAGCCAAAGACAATAATGTAACTTGTAAGTTTCTACTAATTTTTTTAGTAATTTGTAAATTGTAATCCAGAAAGATATGTCAAATTCATTTAATAATTTTAATTCAACAAATTGTTATTTCCATTGTATCAACAGGCACAGAGATGGGGATGGGAATGGCAATGGGAATAGGAATGGAAATGGGAATGGGAATAGGGATGGGAATAAGAATAAGAATAGGGATGGCAATAGGGATGGGATTAAGATCAGCAGTGAGATGGGAATAAGGATATAATGTCACTATGGAGTTCAAAACACTCTACGGTGTCGAGCGCATCGGCTGCCGCCTTTTTCGCAAAGGCAAGAGCCCTCCTGGCCACTTCACGCAGGAGTTAATCAAACAAAAATAAGAGACAACTTGGGAACGACGCAGAATAATCCCGCGTGACGTGGCCGGGAGGGCTCTCGCCTTTGGGAAAAAGGCAGGAGCCAATGCGCTCGACAGGTGGCGCCGTGGCCGGGAGGGCTCCCGCGCTTTGCAAAAAGGCGGGAGCCGATGCGCTCGACAACGGTTTCCGACTACTGTCTTCACCCAAACAAAACACCCGGTCACTTTCACTGTTTTTGGGCCAATTATCAGTATAGATACAGCGATCATGATCAGGCATTCTATTCCACTGAAGAGAGAGAGAGAGAGAGAGAGAGAGAGAGAGAGAGAGAGAGAGAGAGAGAGAGAGAGAGAGAGAGAGAGAGAGAGAGAGAGAGAGAG